TGTATGTATACATTAGGATGCATCACCAAGAAAAGTGAATTATAAAAATATATAAAAAAAAATTATAAAAAAATATATATAAAAATATTTCTGAAGACTATCAAGATTTACGTGAGCTAGACCTTTTTGAGACTACATTAAAAAATTGAATTATTTTTAGTTCGTTGACAAAATTTATAAGAATTTTTATGCAGACCTTTTAACCTTCTATCATCTAGGTCATTTATTAGAAAAAATATGTTTTAATACTAATTTTATCTATTAAGCTGCAACTTACGTAAATCTTAAAATTTTTTACGAAATATTTTGGTAGAGGTCTTAAATTATAATAAATTATATATTTCCGATGGCAAAAAGTGCCGATTATTATTATTTTTTTTTTAGACTGGTCATCCTAATACATACACATCTGTGTTTATCGAATCAGAGTAGACGCAAATTAAATTAAATTACATAAACATTACAGCAGCGCGCGTGCGCGTGTCCTAGACAGTGAATTGGCGCAGACGCATGAAAAACGGAAGTGATTTCCGCAACTTTGAAGTGGAATAGTGCAAGATGCAAAGCACGCGAAAAAAAAGCGTCATAAGCAAGAGAATGCAGTAATTATATATGCCACGAAAGCTGCGATAAAAATCGCGGAATATAGTAGATAAACAAAGTAGAGAAAAAAATAAATAAATCAAACACCACTGACCAGTAAATGGAGCGTTTTTCACGTTTTTCCTACTTTTAGTTTTACATTTTCTTGATTGCAACAACAACAACACTCGGACAATATAAATTATGCAATTGCGAATTCCATTCCCTCAATGCGAACGCAAAACAGTAGCGTGTGCAAGTAAGCGGACCACGGGAGGTACATCTAAACAAACATATGTATGTACTTGTGTATACAGTGGTGGAAAAATAAATAGGGACACGACAGTTTTTCAAATTTTGCCAATTTTTCTTTCATTTCAATTTTGCCATTTTTCTTTCACTCATTATCTAACAAAAACCATATAAATTCGTATTTCAAACTTTGTGCAAAAATTCTGCAAAATTGCATTTAAATTTTTTAATCAGTTTTTTTTTTTTTAAAAAGGGCGTAATACATTCAGAATAAAAATTTTCAAAACTTAACGCGATTTATTCTAATAAAATTTAATAGACTATAAAACTGTTCATTCAAAAAAAAAATTCTGAAAAATCAGATTAAAAAGTTTTAAATGTAGATGCAATTTTGCAGAATTTTTATAATTTTCGCACGAAATTTGAAATATGAATTTATATGGTTTTTATTAGACAATCAGATCAAAAAAAATAATAAATATTAAATGGCAAAAAGAAAAATAGGAAAAATTTGTTAAAATCTCCTTTCACTATTTATTTTTCCATCACTGTACATACAAATCGAAAGCAGGGCAACTTTGTAACGACGTAAACGAGTGTTTTCATATTTCACTTTTTTTGGGATTTTAATAGATTTTGCACTCAGCTACTTTTCATCTGCATACATACACTATCATACACTTGAATAGGAAAAATGCTTCTTCACTTTTTTACTGGCTTTTTTTCATTTATTTAATTTCCATTATTTTTTAATCAAAATACAGTTTATTTTCTAACGAAAACATTATAAATGCAGTTTTCAACCCTACAGAAAATAAAAAATGCACACTTTTCTCTCAAAATTTTTAGTTTTTTTTAGTATGCAGTTTTGTAGACTACTCAATTTAAGTGCCAGTTTTAGATTTTCTTTTTATGACTTGATTTTTTTTTTTTAATTTTCTAAAAAGTTTAAAACTTGCGTTTACATGGGTTTTGTTGTAGAATAAACATTATTTTAATTGCAAAATAATGCAAATTAGGTTACATTTTATTGATTTGTAAACAGTTTTTTGTTAATTTCATTTAAATTTTGGAAACATATTTGTTCCTATTTTTTAAATAATTTTTTTAATTCAATTTAATCATTAGGAACTTTTTGCTTTTATTTTTTTTATTTTTTTTTATTTTATTGGTTTAAAATAAACATTTTTTTTCTCTGAAATTTTTAGAAATGTATTTGATTAGTTTGTTTTCTTTCTTTAATTTAATTTTCCTTTAATTTCTAGTTTTTGTTCTTTTGAAAAGAAAAATATGATTATATTTATTTAAATTTCATTAAATTTTTAGATGGTTTTTGTCTTTCGAAAGACTCTCGTGAGTTGAAAGACAGTTGTCAGAATTGCCATGTAAATAAAAATAACTCAGGAAATAAATCGAAAAGGCATTGTCCCTATTCAAGTGTATGTGAGTGTACATCTATATCTACACATTCTCTTATCCATGTGCTCCAATTCATATAAAACCCATTGCCGTTCGATTTGTTGTAGCACTGCTGGCGGTGTTACATATTTCAGATTTTTAATACAATTTTTTTTTTTGAATTTTTTTTTTACGTAAACTAGTTTGAATTTTTACAAGGCTTTTGCGGTAAAAATGGCGCTGACTAATAAAATACTGGATTAGAAGTCGTAAGCGGCAAACACAGCTGCAAAACAACCAGTCAGAAATGCGCAAAAGGCTGCTGCTGCTGCGCGGTTTTACCCGGCGAGTTGGTGGATTTGCAAAAAAGAAAATAAAAAATCGATTATTATAAAAAATCACAGTAAAAGTGCTTGTTTAAGGCGCACAAATATTAACTGGCTTATAAATAATTGCCGTTGCACACTTACACAAAAATATAAATAAATATTTAAGTATGTATGTATGTATTACTAATCCTCAACGAACTCGTACCTTTTGAAATCCGGCAGCCGCTATGTCAGCGTCAATTCGTTCGTTAGAGTCTTACGATATGATTACCGCTAATTACCTACATACATACATAGCAACCAGCTAGCTAGCCAATCAGCCAACCAGTCAGCCAGCCAGCCAGCCAAGTGGAATAAGTACTAAATCCAGTCGGTTCAATAGCGTTTGCGCCAACTCAGTTGGTCACTTGTTGTTGTAGTTGTTTTTTTTTTTTCTTTTTCATTATTACTCGAAATTGATTTAAACTATTTTAGGAATTTCGCATAAGAAACTATGTATGTAGGTACGTATGTATGTGTGTATGTAAAAGTCGTACTATACCTAGGGTATTATTTTTGTTTTTGCTATTGTTGCAGTTGCCAATATAAAATGAAGCATTTTGAAACGTTCGATTAATCATTATGCGTTTGTATTTCATTCCCATGGCTATGAAGTGAGGTACAGATTTGCATCTTTTATTTTGTGTTTGATGGTCACACACAAAATTGAAAATACATTCCCACGACTGGGCGATCAGCGGGAGAGTAATCGCTTAAGTTTCTCCTCGATGCCCATTTCCCAACAGCTCCTGAACCTTCTATTAGATCAGCGTACTTCCGTCTACGTGAGCAAAGTCTTGGAGCGACTGTGACACTGACATTTTTTCCCCAAGGCAAGAAAAAGCTTTCACTTATCTCCGAGGGATCTCAGACCAATAAGCCTATCGTCCTTCCCATTAAAGACCCTTAAGAGACTGATTTGCCTGTATATAAGAAGTAGGATTCCTCGGGAGCGATTGAGTCCCTCTCTGCCTTGCACACATTTTTTAAGTAAGAGACGAGTTTTTCCTTTTCCTTTTTCTCGATATATACAAGGCTACCCGAGGGGATACTAGAAGCTCTTACTTAGTTCGGGGCGGTGCCCGAGTCGGCCATAGAGCGAGTATATGCATGGAATTCTCTCATCCTTCCTCTGGTTCGCCGTCGTCAACAATATTCTAGAGGAGCGAGAAAGCCTCCGCTGACGATGGGGTACTTAGGGCTAGAGGAAAGTTCTGATACAGTGGTACATAAATTTAGTCATTAATTGATCTTCCAGCTGCGGACTTGCAATTAATCCATGAAAGACGGAGTCCGCCCTGTTAATCCGGATATATGACAGTCCACATGACTGACACCAATTGGGGATATTGGAGTCGAGTCTGGTCAGGTAGCTGTTGACACGGCTACAGTAAGCAGACCGTAACTGGGCGAGAATAACGCGGGTCTCTCTTGGCATTTGAAGCTCCGTGTCAGCCGGTTCTACGTACCGGAATGACACGGGTTTTACATGACCAAGGGCTGTTATTTCCGCGACCAACCCCGGTTAAATCAGCGAACGCCATCAGTCGCTTTCTGGACCTATCGTTAGTGGCGCTTGATGACAACCATTAAAAGGTTAGCTGAAGCTGACCTAGGCAAGGCGTAGTAGTGTTGTTATGACAACAATAAATTAATACAGAATACAGTTAGACAAAAAATAAAATGAATGATGTAAAGTAAAAGAGACAAATTAATTAAGTATGTGAATGCATTTACGTAATAAACAATTTGGTAAACACTTTTTATATTACATTACAATTGCTAATACAACATCCAAAATTGCATTCACGCATACGTACATATGTATGTACATATGAAGTAACCCAGAAAGTTTATGAGTTATTTGACCGCATTACTAGTGCCGCAATAACAACTTCACTGCCACTGCGCCAATGCTTTGGAGTTGGGCGGTGGTGGCAGCGTCACTTTTATGGTGTTAACTAAACAGTTAACCGTAACTAATTACAGAAGCTCGACACTTGGCAAATTTGGCACGTAGCAAAGGCAACCACTTGCCACATGACTGCTACACAATTACAACAAAAATATATAAGAAGAATTAATGCAACTCAAAATGCAATGTAACGCTACTAGACTGTAACGGCAACACACATTTTGGAGGCAGTATTTTAAATAAAAAAACTTAGCAAAAAGGTATTTAATGAGGTGCATAAAAAGAAATACATCCATACATACAAAAGTCGGTATACTTCAGGCTTAAAGAGAATTGTACGCAACTTGTATTAATGGCGCAAGCGCGACTCAAATAGCAAATGTTAAAAGTGCTCATGCAATTCACCTATTGTGATAGCTCATACATTTGTTTTTTTCATGAAACCCGCTCAGTTAATTTAATTTTCTCTTGTTTTTACATTCCAGTTGGCCTCCTTGCTGTCCGCACTCTCAGTGCTGTTGGTCGTTGAAGCACAGAATGGTCCGTATCCACCTCGACTGAGTATACCTGGCGCTGTGCCGCTGGCTGGTCCAGCAGTTGCTGGACGCCCACAATTTCGCAATGAAAAAGTGGTACGCGTGCGTCGTCCAGTCGCACTGCGCGCTCAAAACACCTACATTCCATCGGCAGCACCACGCATACAAGAGGAGGCCAAGCCTGTGACCGAATCGACTGAAGACGAGCAGCCGGATGTCTTCTTGCCACAACTGCTGCGTGAACAGCAATTAGCACAGGCACAGCAAGCGCAATTCCAGCAGCAAGCTAATGCCTTCCTAAATGGTGATGCAAATTCCATTCAGGACTCACCTTCACTGTCACAGCTGTTGCATGAGGATGAGCCAATACTTGCGCCGTCTCCACAACCCGCCCTGACCACAACGCGCTTCGCTGAACGCCCCACACCGGCCGTGCCTTCAACGTCCTCACCAATTAACAATCGACCAGTCTTCAATGACTACGGTATAGGCAGCTTCGGCACTCAGCGCTTCGGTTTAGAGCGTCCACAGCAGAGCGCACCTGCACCGGCGCCCATACCACAACAGCCACAACGTGTCAATGTCATACGTACACGTCCCCAAGTGCGTGAACCACGTCCACAATACGAAGCACAATCAGCCCCACAGCCAGCACCAGCACCGGCACCAGTACGGTCGCGTCCACGTCCAGCACCAGCACCACGCCCGGCAATCGAGTACAATCAAGTACAACACGAGGAACGTGAACAGCCACAACAGCGTCGCCAACGTCCGGTAGCACAAACAATACGCAAGTGGCGTGAAGAGAATGAGGACGGTAGCATTACGTGGGGTTATGAAAATGATGACGGTTCATTCAAGGAAGAACTCATCGGCACAGATTGTGTTACAAAGTGAGTTTTTATCTAATATCTTTATACTTATCGCACATTTGCTACAAGAGTGTTATAATCAAAAAAAAAACTTGAGTTAAGTATGCAAAAATGGCTGCTGTTCATTTATGTGATGTAAAAATTTAATAACTCTACTCAATTAAAAAATAAGCAGTTTCCCTTGAAAATTTTTATAATTTTATTGAGCTTCTATTAAAAGGGCATCTTGAACTACCCCTATGGCTAGTTACACCTTAAAATATTGTTTGGGAACTCAATGAACAGCACAGACATGTAAATTCAAAACTTTAAAGCCGTGTTTCTAGTTTTTGATTTGTTTGATTATGACGCTCTTTAAGCAAATACGCGACATTTACTAAATTATGGTTAATGATGATGATTTTACTGCCGTTTTTAGGGGCACCTATGGCTATATCGATCCCGATGGCAACAAACGCGAATACCATTACGAGACTGGCATCAAATGTGATCCCAATACACGTGAAACTGAGGAAGAGCTCCAGCAGAACGCTTTCATCAATTACGAACAAAACATAGCTGTGCTACCCAATGGCCTTGAGATTGATATGTCACAGATTGGCAAGAAGAAATCCAAGCGGCCGAACTCCATCTACAGAAATTAATTTAATAAAAAGTCTATGTATAAATATTTATAGTATTTAAGTAAATGGCAGATACCAACATTTACATTTTTAATTATTAATTTGTTGTAATTTGTATTTTATTGTATTTTCTCTGCATAGCCTTTGTCTAAGTACAAATGCTAAAATGATACATGAATGTATGTACATCAAGAGCGTGTACAATCTAATTTCATATAAAATATTAAAAGAACGATTTATTGAAAATTAAAAAACCGCTAAGTAAGGTACCTTAAATGTAAAATCGGCCTTTGTTCCCAGCATTTAAGCGACGTAAACAGCGCTCTTATAGTGCAAGCTAATACGGTCGGTTACGGCGTATAGGAGGTAAACGATTGGGCGGGGTGATGGATATGTCTAAAAAGTCGCCAATGCAGAATTTAGCTTGCGCCAATGTCTTGGTATCATCAGCGCCTTTTTGACCTGTGCAGGTTACACCAATTTCACGCATTTGGTAGTGATTATTACGGAAGTTTGGATAAACTATGGCAAAATCAAAGTAAGTACCCTTTTTGCGGGTATCAGGATTAACATCGCGCACTAGGGAGGTTAGCTCGTGAAGAGTAGCATCTTGCCAGGTATAAATTTGTAATTCGTTGCTCGGCACATTGCCGTACATGTACTCAGATACGGAATGATGGCGGCCGGTGGAGCAGAAAACACGCAGCAGTAGTGGACATGTCTGGAAAAGTATAGAAATTAAAAAATATCTACGGTAGAAAAATAAATTGTAAGCGATTCGGCTAGCCGGGTCAACCAACCTTCTCACGATCTATGGGCTTTATGTGCGACTTTTCTTCAACAATCATTGACTCCACATTTGCCATGGCTGTTGTTTTTTAAAGTTTTGTGTCTTTGACTATTACCAGTAATCACTTTTATTGAAATAATCAAGAATCTTTCGAGCCCACAAAAAACTTCAGCTAAACACGATAAATGCAATTTCTGACATTTAATAATAGGCAATCCTACCAACTGAAATTCATTCACACAGGCTTGCATTCGCAAAACTTATTGTTCGTTCACTCTGGACAAAATTAAACATTTCTTGTGTACGTCAAAGTACGTAAATTCACGTTCTTTGGTTACGTTAATTATTAAAAATAATATTAGCAGGCCTAATCGGTTAAACTTGTTTTTGATCTCTAGCTGCGATTATAAGGAACGATTTCTACAGATTCTTCAACAAATGACTTTGATTTTATCCAATGTCTACTCGGTTTTACGTCATTTGTTTACACATCGTAAAAGTGCCACGTTGACGTACGTCTGTTCTGCTCATTTGTATTTTTGGTTGGTTTGCATCACCCTGTGTCGGGTGGAATTGACATTTTTCATTTCTTCTGCCTTCTCATATCTATAGTTGGCAACGCGGCTGAAAATTGTTTGGATTTTTCAGCAATTTGCAACCACAAATTATTCGGACGTCGGTGGAAGCTGCAGAATTTTGCGGATTGTAAAGTGTTTTTCGCTCCCATTGTTGTTTCAACACAATCAGGAAATTTCTTGCTAAAGAAAGTGTAAACGTGCAAAAAGTAAAGTGAAAATTTAAGGCCTGTAGTAGTAAGTTACTGACAAGTGCGGATCGTATTGCGTGCAGGTGTTAAACAATTTTGCTTGAAAGTGTGTCGCAAAAGTGTGGAAATTGTAAAAATAAAAGCAAGCAAATATTTGCGGTTATAATCAGCGCTAACTTGTAGCTATTTGTGCTATCCAAATATATCCACAACGGGCTAAATCGCTTCCATTGTCAGCAAAACCCTTGGAAAAGTTTTCGGAAATCCTACAACCATTTTCAACAATCCTACAGTCCTGCTACTGGGTGAGTTTTTGAGTAAAGTAGATATACCTACACCTGTCGTTTTTGGAAATTTTCCACTTTGGCCACAAATCAATGAATAACGAGTGAAAATGTAAAAAAGAAAATGGGAATGGGTTAAGTAAAGCTTATGTAATTACATTTTATTACGCTAGTAATACAATTCTTCATCAAGTACTTAATTCACTGAATTTACCAATTTCATAAACAGTCGGCATCTAAGCCTAATTTTCATAAATTGTCTTAATTATTCTAATGCAATCTGCTGTTCATCGATAGTCATTCCCGTTCTAATCCCAAGTACTTCACGATCTGCAGGTTTTTACAGGAAGATGTTCCCGTGCGCCGCCTTCCATAAGGTTTATTAAATGCGAAGACAACCCACAAATTTTGAAGTACATGGCACTGGCTTTGTATTTACATACCTAACTTTATTTTCAAATTACGTTTAACTGTTTTATTGGATCACAAAGCCGCAAAACAAATAAGACCACAAGTGTATGTACAAATATACAAACATATGTACATACACTAGGCGACAAATGAAAGTGTACACCTTGTTCTAATATTATATGTACAGTATCGGTCATATCTATAGCACGCCATTTCAAAGTGATATTGTGTGCCACTTATGGTTATTCATTTAGTTTTAAGAATTTTCAATTAAAATACAGTTCATTCTCAGACAAATCCCATACAAACGCATGTGTAACAATTTGTAGACAACTACAAAAAAGTCCAACAAATTTTCAACTAAATTTCAAACTTTTTTCTCAGAAGTGTTAGAATTTTTTTGAGTACACAGTTTTTTAGCCCCTTCAATTTTAGTCTGTGCAAGTTTCAAGTGGCTAAAAGTTGCCGTTGATTTTTTAGAATTTTTTTCGCCAAAGGTGTTGCGGATTTCTTCCATATACAAATAAATTCAGTTTATTCATTATATGGAAGCCAAAGCGACAAAAAAAAATTCTAAAAAATAAACGGTAATTCGTAGCCACTTCAAATTTGCAAATTATCAGCCTAAAACTGAAGGGGCTAAAAAACTGTGTACTCAAAAAAATTCTAAGACTTCCGAGGAAAAAGTTTGAAATTTATGTGAAAATTTGTTGCACTTTTTTGTAGCGTTCTACAAATTATTAAGCTTGGGTTTGTATTGGGTTTTTCTGAGAATTAAATTAATAAATAAACTTAAGTGACACACAATATCACTTTGAAATGGCGTGCTATAGATATGACCGATACTGTATGTATTCACAATTATTTTCATGAAAAATTGTTTGCCTTATTTATTTATGACAATGTAGTTCATTCGGGTTTAGTAATTTGTACAACGATTTTGGGGTGCTGAGCCCAAACGCGTGACCCGAATGGAAAAACTTTTACACAGACTTGTAGACAAGAGTCTACGCTTTATTTAAAAAAAAACACTATTTAATAAATTTCCTTGATAGGCTAGTCTGATCTAATTGTCTCTAGTGCAAATAAAACAAGTTTATTCCACTATTACAGCCCAACGTTTCGCTACAGACAGGAGAATTCTACTTAGTGAGGGTCATAATAATTTTGCGAAAAATCCAAATTTTCCCTATTTTCTATTAGCTCCCACGGGGCCTGTGGAATGGTGAGGGGGAGAGAGGCGATTTTAATAAAGCGCGGTTGTTGTTGTTGTAGCAGCATACAAGTTCTTCAAGGAGTTTTTAGGGAGTGTTGCTGGAGCGACAATATAAACCATGTAAATCAAAGTTTCACACTTTATGTCAAACTCAAAAAAATTAAGAAAATATGGTTTTGTAGCCCTATAAATTTTAGTCAAATGAAGTGCAAGTTTAAACTGACTACAAAATCGCGTTGATTTTTGAGATTTTTTTTTATACGTATTTTTGCACTTTTTTTCCATATAAGCATAAATTTCTTATGAAATAAAATGCGGCAGAGCGTTAGCAACAAACGTTCATAAAATCAACGCCAGTTTTTGTAAATTGCACTTGTTATTAAAACAAAAACGCAAAAGCAGTTCCCAAAAAAAAAAATCTCAAAATCAACTCATATTTGTAGCCGGTTGAAACTTGCACTTCATTAGACTAAATTGAATGGGCTACAAAACTGCATATTTTTTGAATTTTTGTGACCTTGTGACCTTGTGACCAAGGTGTACACTTTCATTTGTCGGCTAGTGTACATACATATGTAAAATTGAATTACCTAAATTTTTTAAGCAACATTTTCCAATCTGTCTCTTGTGTTTTTACACCTCCTTATTTGTTTATGCAACGCTTGTTTGTAAGCAAGCAAAGTAACTGTAGAATAAAATAAATAATCATATGAGAAATGCAGCTGTAATTTTATTATCGGACTTTGTTGATATGTAATTAAGAATTTTGCTTTTTTGTCTTTTTTTGTTTATAAAAAACGTACATTACCGTATTCCGGATAAAAAACGTTAAATATGCCAAAATAAATTAAAAGCATTTGTAAAACCTAAAAAAAAAATCCCTCAAAGTGTTTTAATGATATTAATTTGTTTTTAAATTTATAAACCAAACCAGAAGTACGGGTTTAGGGTACGGCGAACGTTTTTTGCGTTTTTAGCTCACTCAGATGTAGGATTCCGAAAAACTTAAAATAACCAGATACGAAATTATAAATGCCTGCACATAAGCGCTTACACTTGTGGCCATGCAAACTTTACTACCACTTACAAAAATTAGATATAATTTTGTAAATTAATAAAAAAAAAGATTAGAATATAGTTGAACAAAACCTATTTAAACAAAAATTTACCATAATTTCAAGCTTTTCAATTTCTGGAATGCAACTTAACAGCCCATTTAATTTTAGTACTCACCCATATAATAAAGTGCAAGTTCGAAATGGCCAAAAAATTCTAAAAAAAATCTGATTAAAAAGTTGGAAATTTGCATGAAAATTTGCTGAATTTTCGGGAGTTTTGCAGAAAGTTGTAAAATGAACCATATTTTTATAAAAAATTGGTGGGAAAAATATTAGAAGAAAAATGTATGCATATATTGTGAAAAATTTGCTGTGTCAATACTTTTTGCCGGCAGTGTACATGCCGCTACCTCATTTCACAAAGGCCGTAAGCAACACTTTATTCGAAACGGTGTTTTTCCCAGATTCTGGTAAGATCAATCAAAATTTTAAAGTGTAAGTACCAAAAACAACAACACTTTTTAAAAAGCCCCACTTGTTTTTGATATTCCTTTTATAATGTGTTTTTTTGGTTCTCCTGTAAAATAAAAAATTTGTTGGTTGGCGCCTTTAAGGCACAGATATATTAAAAAAAATTAAAAATTTGGTATGGAAAATATAAATAAATAAAATATAAACAAATAAAATCGTCAAAACGTCAAAATGTTTAGGTTTTGGACATTTTAGAATTTTTTAGAGGCAAATCTTTCACTTACTGTCTAATTAGGAACACAGTCCGGATTGTACGGGAATGGAGCTATTATACAAAAAATCCAGATAAAGCGGCCATCTAAATGTTTATGTACCCATATATGTATCCATATATGTATATACATATACATACATTTACATATGTATACACATTTATACATACATACTTAATATTTTCACATTACAACGCTACTCATTGCCTTACAAACTCTGCATGTGAAGAATAGACATTTACTTAATTTGCTTGGTACGAAGAAAAATAATCAAGTGCAAATGGTAATAAAGAATTGACAACCCGCTTGATGCCATTTGCCATACTAATGAGAAAAAAGAAAAACATTTTCTTGCCAATAAATTAATTATCGCTATCGATTATGAATGCCTGCGCCATGCCGATTTAAACAGCTTTCCTAAGTATGTACATTAGCCAGATGTCGTATTGAACAATTTACATACATGCATGCATATAGACGTACATATTGATATATATATTTATATATGTATTTAGCGATATACATACCAACGCGTCCAAATTAAAAAAAAAAAATACTTTTTTTTTGTTCTTTCTCTCTATCCCAACGACGCTTTTTTTTCTTGAGTTTCCTTATTTCAAGGTTGATTCTCTTAAGCAATTAATTCTTTGTGGATTATATTTAGCTGGAAGCCGCTTGCTTTCTCTGCACAATTTTGGTCCACGGCGGGTTTGTGCTTTATTGACAAGAGCTCACAAACAAATTTACGCACAATATGCCACCATTTTTTTTATACATAATTCTAAATAAGGGTGTATGTCTGAAGCTTAAAGTTATAATTATGATTGCACCAACAACCATACATACATACATATACACAAGCATACAAAAACGCTCATTAAAATGGAAATTTTCGTAACATAAATTAAAGTAAATTTCCAACGCAATTTTTTTACACTTGGTTTTTTTTGGTAGTAGCATATATGTACTTATAATGCCAAGTTGCCAACCCTGCATTGTTGGTTTTATAAGTGCCTAATATTTACTGTATTATTGCATTTGTTATCACTATTTTCCTTAGTGTTATAAAAATTGAAAACTTACAAATTGAGTACTCATATGAAAATATATCAATGGGCAAGTGTGCTGAGTTTCTCTCTCGACCATACGTCAGCAACAGCAATGGAAAAGTCAGCAATAACAATAGGGTAGCAGCAGCAATATTTGCATGAACAGCAACAATATCTATCGCACACGCTTTTGCCTTTATTATCTCAGCAACGTTGAAGTATTTTACTATTCTTGCTTATGGCTTTGCTATTCCTATGTACGAATGTGCGTTTTGAAAGCATTTTCCGTTACGTTGCTGGAAATTTATGACCTTCGATGTCAATATCATATCTAAAGATATTTCAATCAGAAAAAATGCGCATATTTAAAAATCTTTCGCCGTCAGTTGTAAAGCATGTTTTCGATCAATTCTGCATATACATATATGTATGTGTATGTATGTACACTCACAACAAAAAGTATTAGCACAGAGAATTTTTCACAATATATGCAACAATTTTCATATTAATTTCATCCGCTAATTTTTTATGAAAATACGGCTTA